TTTGTAACTTGCCAGGATGTACAGCTAGTGCTGGACCAGCCCAGAGGCTGGCTTGGCTCATAGTCCAGTGCTGTTTCCATGACAACACGCTGTCTCATAGAAATATCCAAATTTATTTTCTTAAAAAGATACACTGGGCTGGGTGCGGTGGCTCACGCCTGTAATCCTAGCACTTTGGGAGGCCGAGGTGGGCAGATCACGAGGTCAGGAGATCGAGACCATCCTGGCTAACACGGTGAAACTCTGTCTCTACTAAAAATACAAAAAAATAGCCAGGCGTGGTGGCGGGCGCCTGTAGTCCCAGCGACTCGGGAGGCTGAGGCAGGAGAATGGCGTGAACCTGGGAAGTGGAGTTTGCAGTGAGCCAAGATCACGCCACTGCACTCAAGCCTGGGCGACAGAGCAAAACTCCGTCTCAGAAAAAAAAAAAAGAAAAAAAAAAGATACACTGGTAGATAATTATTCTCATCACAAAGGAATATGTTACTGTGAGGAAGGATTCACTGTCTAGGACTATGAGCTTCATAAGAAAACAGGGGCATGAGCTTGAAACCAAACTTGAAATTGAAAAATAAAAAGCAGCCACTAGACATTCACTACCTCAAAAATAGAGAAAAGCATATTGACCTTCTGGTTTTGAAATTGTTTAATAACTGGAAACTAGTTTCAAACTTGAGTTTGGCGTAGTTTTAAGAACTCAGTCAAGAGGAATGCAAAACCCTATTTTTAAAATACAGCTGCTACATTTTTAAGGCAATGCCATCAATCTGCAGTGGAGGGAAACATACAAAGGAAATGTACTTCAAATGTTTTATAACTAATGGATGTATAAAGTAAAATATAAAGAAAATTTGTTTAGTTTTAGCAATCGCAGAGTATTAAAAACATCCATTTTTAAGGATTACGGAAAGTATTCAGGTTATTATTTGTTCAACTCAACCAGTTAATTATGTGAATGTCTATTTCAAAATACCCAACCGGAATCTCAGGGGATGTGTGTGAGTGTTCTATCTCATGACTCTTTATAATAATAAAAATAAGCAAAAAGTAAATACAATTTGGGTTTAAATAGCTTTCCTCTTTCCTCTGGCCACTTGGGCCTTCGTTTTGTTTAATTAATCTGTTCATTTCTGGTGAGACCATCTCTTGGCAATGCTTTGGGATACTTAGGTTTCCTGGAGTACAGAAGAACAGTCCGTGTGGTTTCATACAGAACTGTGCGGTTGGAGGGGGGTCTGCTGCAGTCGTTCTGGACACATTCCTCCTCCTATCTTGTGTGTGATAAGAGATTTGATCAGCTCTTAAGCAGCTTCTGCCTGTTTTCAGCATCTACAGTGCCTCACTTTCCTGGCTGGACTCACCAGCTTAGAGAAAGCAAACAACTTAGAAAAATCACAAAGCACAGTGCAGGTGCCCCACTGGATGGAGGGGACACACTTTTGCAGTTATCTGCTGCTGTGTTGGGTGTTAACTTCTGTGACTGAATATTTAAGCCTGGGAACTTTCTTGGTTTTCGCCCTCACATCGGGCATTATCTGGCCTTCCCCTGGAGAGTGCCTTGTGCGGGTGGGGTGGGGTGGAGGGAGAGGAGCGCGAAGGCAGGGATGACTGCCCACCTTGGATGCCTTTTCCAGCACGATGCGCTGACTAATGAGCAGAGGCCACTGCTGAAGAGCAAGGCTGGGTCTCCTTTTCCGGAGACTGAGCCCATTACCCTCTCGGCCCCACTAGCCTACAGGCACCCAGCCTGCCTCCCAAATGGATGACTTCCGGCTCGCCATGCTGCTCCCAGTCCTGGTGCCAGTGGCCGTGAATAACCTTGCTTTTGTGTGTATTTATTTTATTTTGAATTTCTCCACCCTGGATCTTTCCACCTCCAAACCCCACCCCCTGCTTGCCGGCCCCATGTGGTGATGTTTCTTGAAATGTTAGATTCTTTCTTCCTCTATACCCCCTCCAGTTCTGGAAGCATTTTGTTTCTGTACTGCTTTGTGAAGCTGGTGCTGAGTCCAGATCCTTGGGGCTTTAAAGTTGAATTAATTATTAAACAGGAAGGGAGCAGTACTTTCAGCAGGCGCCAAGTAACTATACTTAAACTGCAACCTGGCACTGTTTTTCCCACCCTTGTGCTGTGGTTTGCTGAAGGCAACTGGAGATTTTTATTCTAGTTTTAATCAAGCATTTCTGTAAGTTTTCAGGCAGTTAAGATTTGGCAGCAAAGGGCTGGGAAGTCAGTCTTCATCACCTCCTCACCAGTTTGGCCAAAGACAAAATTAAAACACAATCAGAAGTATTTTCCCAGTTCATAAATCAATCTGAAATTGCCCATTCTCTACGGGTTGGTTTTCCTGAGGGCAGGGTGGGCTTTTCTCTCAAATATATGTCTATTTTTTATTGATTAGCTCCCATTTGTAGAGAATGGTGCTTTTCAAATAAAACCATCAGAACGCTGGCTTTAGTTGCTGTGTGATTGCTATAATCACTGCTTTAATTTAGGGGCTATGTTGAAGATACAAAACCCTTATTTAAAAATATACTCAGGAAGGCTGGGTGCAGTGGCTCATGCCTGTAGCCCCAGAAGTTTTGGAGGCCAAGGCAGGAGGATCACTTGGGACCAGGCGTTTGAGTCCAGCCTAGCCAACATAATGAGATCCCCATCTCTAAAATAATGAAACATTAGCCGGGCATGGTGGTACGCCTGTAGTCCTAGCTACTCAGGAGGCTGAGGTGGAAGAATCACTTGAGCCCAGGAGTTTGAGGCTGCAGTGAGCTAGGATATTGCCACAGGACGCCAGCCCGGGCAACAGAACAAGGCACTCTCTCTAAAAATAATAAGAGTAATAATAAAGTAAAAATAAAAACACATGTGAAGACACACAGCAGAATTTCTTACTTTTCTGAGGCTGGGCATTGATGCTTTTCAGAAATTCGCAACTTGATGGAGTTGGTGGGTCAGCTTAGCCCCGATACTGAATACAGGCATTCTCACAGAGCGATATGAATGAGACAGTGGCTGTGTTCTAGAGAAACCCAAAGCCTTCCTAAAGGTATCAAACTAATACCCTTAAATGACAGCAAGATGCTTTCTGGAGGCTGCCCCTGCAGAGGGCTGGCCCTCTGGTTTTCACCTGGCTCCTGGCATTTGGTGGTGGGCCTTTCCCAGTCTCGGCTGACTGCTCTGCAGGAAGCTCGCTAGGAAGTGCTCCGCTCAGCTCCATTAAGTCTCACCCTGTAGCTGAGCAGCGGTGCAGGCTGTCGGGGTGGGGAGGGAGGAAGAGCTATCTGGGTGCAGCTGGGTGCGTAGGCAGGAGTGTGAAGCAGCCTCAAGAGGAAAGAGAACAAAGATTTGGTTAAAAATTTAGATTCATGCATATAAATTTGGAACAGGGCAAAAAAAAGTAAGCCCAACGCACACAACCCTCCCGCACCCCTTCCAGTTGGCTTGTGGTGAAGTGTGCATGTGAGAACAGCTCAGAACCGAAACACCGTACACTCATGTCACCCCTAACGATGTGCTGGGAAACCTTGCAACAGATATATCCTTAGAACTTTTAAAAATGAGAGACATTCTGTGAGCCTTCAGTCCAAATACTATTTTTTTGGACTTATTTTCTATTCAGGGATTTTAAAAAAAAAGTATTCTTGCTGACAATTCTTAAAAAAAATTAAACGTTTTAATCATACATATAATCTATGTCTTCACTGTGTAATTTCCATCAGTCAACAGATTTAATTATAATAAATTAATAAATATACTTACAATAAGCAAAAAACTGTGGTCCACTGGCTTATTGAAAAAGATTAGTTAGAAGAAACCAGATAAATGTACACTTCTAGGAGTTTAAGCTCAAAATTTCAAGCACCTCTATTTTTTCTGAATTGTCACCTTTTCCAGGGACTGATCCTTTCTCAATAAATCATCCTCTGACCTTGGTGTTGAGATTGTCTTGGGGCTTCTACTCTCAGGATGTCAGATTTGGTCATATTATTTAGGATTCTATCATGGCCACATTGCACTTCTAACCACAGGAAATAATTTAAAACCCAGACTGGAAATGATACATTCCTCATCAACCAATATTTGGAAAATATATTTATTAAATGCACAACTTTTGTACAATTTCTATGTCCTATTTTCTTTCCAGAAAGCATATTCTGCACTGGTTTTAAAATCTCATGACATTAGAAAACAAGATTTCTAATCGTTGGGCAAAAGTCCTCATCCTTTATATTTGGAAATGGGTTGATACTCTTATCCCTCACCCATGGGAAGTTTGCAATATAAAATTTTTAAAAATACTTTATTTAAAATAACCTTCCAACAGCTGGCCTAGTCTTCTATGTGTAGATATTAGAAAACACTTGAAAAGCACTTTCACTTAGTTAAAAAGGAAAACTAGTCAACAATAATCATAACAACCCTTTAAACAAAAAAACGAATACGGAGAATACCAAACAGGCATGCATTGCGTTGTAAAAGCCTTTTTCTTTCCCTAGTTGAGGATAACTCTAAAAATATTGTGTATACCCACCTATGGTTTCCTGAGGACTTTCTTCCCAGTCTGCTGAAAAGCAAAAGTTAGGAAATTATGTCTGATTTGTGTCAAATATGTTCCAAAGAATCATGGGGTTTTCCTTTTACTATGAGGAGTATTCATGGAGGAAGTCGTCCTCTGAGCAGTTGTCACCTTTTCTTACGTGGTATTCCCAACTGCAATGCCAGGCGGTGGGGGCTTTGCCGCCGTGGGAGCGGCTCCAGTTCCTGGATGAGCCCAGGGCCTGCCCAGACGTCGGCCATCTCTGCAGGTGTATGGACTGCGGCCCTAGGCAAGACTGTCTCTGCCTTCCCCAAAGGTCTCTGAGCCCTTCTGCGGCCCAGATGGTTCCAATTTGAGGCCTACATTCAGTGCTGGAGCTGTATTGAGTTTCTTCCCTGAAACCAACAAAACCTGCTTCAGCATTTTGCTTGGATTAAAATATTTGTCCCTTTTTTTTCACAGGGCAGAAGGAGGACTCCTGAAGCCTCCGAAGGAAGGAAATCATTACAGGGCCCTACAGAAGTAGGTCATGTGCTACAGCTGCTCATAGTTTGAGAGGAAGAAACACGGGACCTCAAACCTGGAACACGACTCTTTCAAAATGCTTGTGAGTAACCCGAGGAAAACATCCTCCCCAGGCTTATCTAATAACCATGATCTCTAATCGTCTCAATGTGTGCTCAGGTTGCCTTAGGAGTTTGCACCCACTTCTCAGAGCTAACGAGACGCCGAAACAGAACACAGCAAAAAGTAATGAAGGAGATTTAATAGTTTGTGTTAAAGCTAATATGGTCCATTAGGAGCTGTCATTTTTATAAACAATGAGGATATGTTACCCTCTTCTTTGGTGTAAAGTCATTCCATGCAGGACCTGTAAACATTCGGTAATGATCTGTAGAACATGCATGAATGACAATTAAAGCACCACTTGAAAAGTCTGCTTTCCTCACATATTTGGTTTCTCGCTAAATAAACTTGTAAAGTTCATACATGTGTACGCATATGCTTACATTATAAAAAAAGGTGTGCATTTCATTAAGAAAATCAACGAACACATATCTTGTAAGTGTTTTTGGTTCCCATTAGCTTGAGAAATATCAGAAGTGATTAGTTAAATGAGGAGCATAGGTTCTGTTTTTTAGTGCATACTATAATAATAAAACAAGCAGTCTTTTATGGTAGCTTAGTGAGATAAAATTATAGTTCACAGTGTCATGAAAGGCATGATTACTGATTACGATCTTTGAAAGTTACAAGTAAAAAAGCTTCTATAAAACCTATCTGTTGCAAAAAAAAGTACGTTCTACAGTGATTCAGATATATTTCCGAAATGTATTTTTTAATTGTGGCTTACACCAAGCAGAGACAAGACTCGAGAACTTGCATTCTTTTTGAGACTCACTGAATGTACTTGAGAAAATAAAATCAGATTGACTCCCTCTGACTTTGTAAATAGAGTTTGCTCCCTTGCTTTCTCTCTCTCTTTTAAAGGACAAATGGTTCCTTTTTATAGGTTTTAGGGTTGGCAGAATTTGATTTAAAAAAAAAAAATTCTTACAACCCCCTAACATTTTCTGCTGCACACAGGAGTGGGTAGGGAGTAGGGGATAAAGAAAGGTCCAGCTTAAAATTATTCTAGTTATTCACATAGACTTGAAAGCTCCAGTGACGAGTTTTGAGAAGTAGCCTTAGGCAGAACTTGCTATCAAAGAAGGCCAGGAACAAAAAACATTTAAAAGCAGATTACGAGTCTCTCCTAACAAAGCAAAATCAAATCACTGATCGATAAGTGCAGCTGGGTTAAAATTGTTTCCTTAAAAAGGCTTTAAAAACTTTTTTGAGTGATAAGCTGGAGGCTGACCCTTTTATGCTTTTGAGCAAACTCCTCCTGGAAAAGCCTTTTCCATCTCTTCCAGGGCGGCCTCTTTTGGGATGAGCCAGAGTCTCTCTCTTCTCATTTAACACAAGCAGGCCCTTGGCTGGAAAAGGCTGGCAATGTGGTTTCCAAGAAAGGGAAAGATGCTCTTTGATCTAAGTCAAGCCCTCCAAGAGAGTTTAGCTACTAGTCCCAACAGCATAGCTGGATTCCCCATGGTCATCTATGAACTATTTGTGCAATGCCCAAGCTGGAATGACCATTATTGGTGTCAAATCAACTTGAAACCTAAAGAAAATCTTCAACAAAGAACAGGCCCAGACTCCAGGTCACTTAAGCCACAAAAATGTGCTGGGTAGATTGTGGCTCGCTGTCTAGATCAAGGCCATGTGGACGACGTGGAGGCATACCTCCCAGCGTCAGACGTAACTCAGATGCTGGGTCTTTCAGAGACTGATTTCAAACAGGGCTTTTAAAAACAAGGGAAGAGGGGAAAAAAAAGAAAACCAATGAGCAAGTGGTGTTCAATTTATTCACATATGTTCCAAATGGCACAGAGATAAGCAAAAAGGGTTCTGGTATGTTTTTTAATGATTTCATTATCACCAGACAAGAATGGAAAGATCGTCCAGATGCTATTGAAGAGACAGAAAAAGAAGATTTAAAAAAATAAGAATAATATCTTGAATGGTTCCCTGCCCGGGTACATAAACAGTGAAGATTGACCAATGAGATCTTTGAAGTTAGGTCTATTTATAAGTCCATTTATTTAAAAAGGAAGGTTGAGATGATGTAGAAAAGAAAAAAAGAAAACTTTTAGAAAAATTTGATCTTGGCCTGGCTGTCTTCTTCTCTGCATGAGCATCGTTTGCCTGGGGTGGATTGTCATCTGAGCCAGTGATTAAGCAGGGAGGGAGAGTGAAGCAAAGCTACAGTCCCCTCCGGTAGAGCAGGGGCTAGGCCAGTGCCCTGCCGGGGAAGCCCGTGTCACACACAGCACACAGGGAGGATGAGGATTATTCCCATTGCAAGGGCTGCCGCTTGAGTCACAGATCTGCCTCTTTCCTTCTCTTGGCTGCTCCTTGTCCATCCATAATAGCCGTCGTGGTGTGTCAAATTCTGCACTATTGCAAAGCGCCCTGGCCACTGGGTCTGAAAAAAGCTCTCTCCCTTTTCTGGAGGCTCTCTGAAAAGTGAGTACTCTCCATTGCTTGTGTGGATATACTTGGCCACGTAGAAAGTGAGTTTATGGTCTCTTTTTAGTTTTATAAAATTATTATTATTTATTGTTAGTGTTTTTAGAGACAGGGTCTCGCTCTGTTGCCCATGTTGGATGCAGGGTGCAACAGCCTCAAACACCTGGGTTCAAGCTGTTCCCCCACCTCAGCCTCCCAAGTAGCCGGGACTGCAGTGGCACACCACGCCCTGCTAAGGTTTGTGATCTCTTTATGGGTGTGTGTGTGTTATGTTTCTAAGTAGATTGTAAGCTTCCTGAAGGTGGAGGCCACAGTCTTCCTGATCAGGTCTATGACCTTCTAATTGTTCCGTAGAAATGGGTCTGTTGCTGGGTGCATGATAATGACACAGAATAGACTATGCCCAGGAAAGTGCGTAGAGGTGCAAGTCTTAATCAAGGATGCAAAGTGTGTTCGGCGTGACTCAAAGTAACGCCAAAAGTATTGCTCAAAGCAGCCTCTACCTATGGAATGATCGAAACAACGCCTCTTCAGAAAGACAGCATGTGTTTTACAGACCCACGGTTCCCCTGGAGTTCCCAAAATCCACTGAGAGTGTGGGGACTTGGATTCTTCTATCCCCCGATTCTCCTGATTCACTGCCACACTGTCCCTGGGCTTTGTTAGGGTAAAACTTGCCAGTATCTGGAAAAGTAGTAAAACCCTCATTTCTCTGAAAGCACTGGAATTGTACATGCAGGATGGATCATTTTCATTTATGTTTGGTATGACCGTTATTTCAGCTGCTTTGTGTCTGTCAGACCTTATATATGCTGTTCGTTTCATGGCCAAAATATGGCGTGACCTATCTTGAAACTCCAAGAAAATTTCTCTAGCAACAGCATTGCTTTCTGACATTGTAAATCATCTCTCCTTCTACATAATTTTGCATGGCCGTGATAAAAATAAATGTGGATATCTGAATTTTATAGTTGAAGACGTTAAGTGGGTACTTGTAAATTAGATTCTCTGAGTCCCAACAACATCTATTTATTGTTTTGCTTATAATTCTTTAATGTTTACCAAAGGGACCTCCTATTGCTTACAACAAAATAGCAAAAAACACAATATCTAGAAGTGTGTTTAGTCCAGCTAAGGGCTGATCTGGGGCTGCCCGTGCAATCAAAACCTCTACCTTAGCTCTCCCTGTGCCTTGAAAGGTAAAGCTCTCACCCGTTAACTCTCTCAGTTCACGGATATGTCGCCGGAGTTATTTTTTGTTTTGTGTTGTTGTTTTGTTTTTTTTGGCATATGGTACAAATCATATTGGAAAGAGGCAAATTAATCTCTTTAATACAAAATCATTTACTTAGTACCCACTATATGCAACACCAGTGACAGAAAAGCTACACAAAAAAGCACATCAGTTGGGAATGTGGTCGTGTTCAGCTTCTCGCTCATGTAAACAATTGGAAACAGAGTCAGTGTGTCGCACTCCCACATCTCAGTTGCTGTTTCCCTTAATGGTTCCCTCCCTGTTCAAAGGCAGGATCATCCCTGGATTACTGCAGTTTTAGACAGCACGCTAATGTTCACTAAGAGGGTAATGGAAATTAAAAATGTAAATAAGTGCTTGGGTTCCCCACCCCCAAATATGTCAGATAACTGCTTATTTTCCTCTAAATTAATATGCTTTGAGGTTCTGTAGGCAGAGGCTAAACACCTATTATGAATATTATCATATGTCTCGTTTTTACTAATCTTTGGTTTGGGTGACTGGATTTAAGTGACGTAAGCAAGAAGGTATGGAAAGTGAGAGTAATCACAATGTGAAAATGCCAGAGAGACCCCTAGTGCCCTATGGCCTATTGGAGCAATTCCACCCGCTTTTTTTTTGTTTGTTTGAGACAGAGTCTGGCTCTGTTGCCCAGGCTGGAGTGCAGTGGCCGGATCTCAGCTCACTGCAAGCTCCGCCTCCCGGGATTAGCCATTCTCCTGCCTCAGCCTCCCAAGTAGCTGGGACTACAGGCGCCCGCCACCTCGCCCGGCTAGTTTTTTGTATTTTTAGTAGAGATGGGGTTTCACCGTGTTAGCCAGGGTGGTCTCGATCTCCTGACCTCGTGATCCACCCATCTCGGCCTCCCAAAGTGCTGGGATTACAGGCTTGAGCCACCGCGTCTGGCCTCACCCGCTTTTACAAGTTTCTCCCTCCTCCATCCCTTCTCCTCCTGGAACTTCCTGCCTTGGTTTTCACTAGTTCAGACAGACACTGTGTCTTCTCACCAATCTCAGCTTCCTTTCACTCTAGATTTCTCCATTCTGGCCTGGGAACTTTACTTGTCATTCAGTCACCCCGGAGTCTCTCCCACCTCATCCCCAAACAACTTTCTAAAGTTTTCATTTAAGTAAAAACTAGTAAAGCACTGGTAAGCACTGGTTAAATAACCTTTGGGAAATAAAAAATATGTAATCGAATTTGGGACTTCTTTATCTGATGAGAATCTATGTTATTCATTTTGTGATGTTTCTAGAAACTCTCCAAATTAATCTCCATGT